AAGCATAGGGCAGAGTTGGTTCTGGTCATGACAAATTACTGCTACCTTCCTGTTCCCATTGGTGTTTCTGTTGACTTTTTGTTAAGTCCTTGGGTATAGTATCTATTGGAAATGAGTTGTTGTCACTGTTGTTTTTTAAGGAATGCATAATATGTCTACATGATCTATCTTAATTATTCTCCTGTACTCCAAAATTTCTCCACTATTGCATTTCTTGTGCTAAGCCTACTCTCTATGTACATCTTGGTACTTAATATACTGTATGTCTTCTTTCTTTGGCCGTTAGAAGAATCTGGGATTAGAAAGAGGAAAAGTTGAGTTACCCTTAAGCACTAGTAGACAACTTCTAATACCATTAAAAATTATTATCTAGATAATGGTTCTTTTCCTCTTCTATCTTTAAGAAGTCTTCTGTATTGTAAATGACCTTTTACCAAATTTGAACGGGGTAGTATTTTTTAATCATCTTTAGGTAAAATGGGCCCAAGAAGACCCATTGTAAGGTACACAAGTTTCTTTCTAAGAATAGAAATATCAGAACCTAATTTTATAGACCAAGGATCTTAGAAGTGTTTTTAAAGCATCAAGGATCTTAGATATTTTTTGTGTAGAATGTTGTTGTTGATGTTTCCTGTTGATGGAAATACCAAATTTCCTAGTAAGAAGTGGTTCTAAAATTTGATATTTAGATCATTTAGACACTTCCCAAAACCCTATGCTTGTTATATACAGTTTTTAAAATTTTAACATTTTATTTACATGTAAAAAAGTTACATGTAAAAACAAGTTTTACCTTTTTTTAATTTTTTTACAATTTTGAGTTCCAAATCCTCTCCAGCCCTTCCTCCCCCATCATTGAGAAGGCAAGTAATTTGATAAAGGTTATACATGTATGCACATTTTCTGATATACCGTTTAATGGAACAATTAATTCAGAAAAAAATTGAAACTTTAAATAAATTTCTTGAAGTAGGATTTTTTCTTACCATTTAAAATCTTAATTTGTTAGGATTTAATAATTTATTGCAAGTTATTGTCCTGAAGGAAGAATTGGGAAATCATGCCCCCAAAACTCTTTTGGAAAGAAAAGCAGATTTCAGACTACCAAATGATGAGTAGGTTTTTGGTTTGGTTTTTTTTTTTTTTTGGCAAAGCAGTTAGGATTCAGTGACTTGCCCAGAGTCACACAGTTAATAAGTGTCAAGTGTCTGGTCTGAGCCCGCATTTGAACTCAGGTCCTCCTGACTCCAGGGACAGTGCTCTATCCACAGTACCACCTAGCTGCACCAATACATTTCTTGAAAGATAGCAGTTTAAAATGAATACTAGGGTGATGTTCTAGGGGAAAGTTGGCATAGAAAATTTTGATGGTTAATTCCCTATTTCCCAATACTTGGGTTTTGTATTTCTTACATTCAAGCTCAAAATATTTTTTGGCTTAAGGTACAAAGAGGTGAACAAACTCCACATAGAACTAAACTATGTGACATCAGTTTTATAAGGCCAGGGACTGGACCTGTGATTTCATAAGTATGGGGAGCCTTCTTCCATCAATACATGTTGGTATGTTCTCTGTCATGTCTATTCATAGAGTTGCCTAGAGCACAGAGAGTTTAATTGACTTACCCAAAATCACATAGCCAGTATAGATAAGAAGCAAGAGTGGAACTGAAGCCTTCCCACTATGCTATGGCTGCTTCTTCTATTTTGTAATGATGAAAAACTCAAACCTCAGTCTCTATTGTTCTATTGATGCTAGATTTTAGATTTTAGACAAAAAACTTTTTTTGTGGATGTATATTTAATCATAGTAACAAAAGCTTTGTTTTGTTTAATTTCCCAGAAAGTATGAAAATTAATGCAGTTTTTCAGGTTTTAGTTACACTGTAGCATATAGATTTTCCAAATACAGTTGAGATTTGAGAGTACTGATAAAATATAATAAAACTAACCTAATTTCCCGAGTATTCTTAGATGTTCATGAAATGCCCTCTGGACATTTACAAAATTTCTGCATCTGTAAAAGTGATATAAAAGAACATATAGATAAAAATGCTCAGCCTTTCATTCTTTAAATAGCAAGGGAAATGGGATTTTTAAAAAAGCTTAGATTAAGTTGAGCACATCATGAGGGCTTTAAGATTTGCAAAACACTTTACATATCTTAACTTTGTTTGAATCCTGTAACAGCCATGTGAGTTGAGTACCACAGGTGTTATTGTCCTACTTTTCAGACAAAAAAACAGACTCAGATATTAAGCGACTGTTATGTTATGATCAGATAGCTCCTAAATGTCGGGGATGGGATTTGGACCTGGTTCTCAAGGTCTTAGGATCATAAAGTTATAGTTTTCATGTTGGAAGGAGGTCATCTAGTTTTCTCCGGATTATTTTGCAGATGAGAAATCTGATGCCCAGAGAGTTTATGTGATCTGCTTTAAGTAATATAGTATATTGTGTGTGTGTGTATGTGTATGTGTGTGTGTATTATATGTAGTAATATATAATACAAAGATTCGAACTTAAGTTCTCTGATTCCCAACATAGCACTCTTTATAACCTCACACTTATTGTTCACCAGATTGCCTCTCCCAAGGAGACATATAAGAACTTCAGTGACAGTGCATTTAACAGTAATGTTATGTGTTTATAACTTGACTCTCTACTGGTTCTCCTTTTGCTTTTCTGATCATTCCTCACCTCTCTTTGCTGGCTCATCATCCCTGACTTTGAATGTTTCCCAAAGTTCTGTCCTAGGCCCTCTCTTCTCCCTCTGCACTCTCTTGATAAACCTCATCATCTCCTATGGTTTTAACTGTCATCTCTATGGCAGTGACTCTCAGATCTATATATGTCAAGCCCCAATCTCTCCCTTGATCTTTATTAAATCCCACATCACCAATAGGCAGATTGGATGTTTCAAACTGGATGTCCCAAAGACATCTTAAGCTCAGCATGGCTAAAACTGAACTCATGATCTTTCACCCTAAACTCTCCCCTCTTCCAGACTTCCCTATCTCAGTCAAAAGTCACCACCATCCTTCCAGTGTCTCAGGTTTGTAACTGGAATAGAATGCTCACTCTCTTCACATATCCAGTCAGTTGATAACTCTTGTCATTAATATAAACTGTGATTTATCTTCTAAAACTCTATGCATACTGGCCCCAACCTATCTCTTCAGCCTCAGAGACCAGGACTACCCCTTGCACACAGCCAAACAGGCTTCTCTGTGTCCTTCACATGATACTCCATCTGCTGTCTCTGGACCTTTGCAGTGGTTGTTCCGCATAGCTAGGATGTGTGCTCTTCTTACCATAAATTGAGAGTCCTCCTCTTTTTTAAAGAGACAATTCAAGTGCTATCTACTGCATGGAGCCTTTCCTGACTCTGCACCATTCCTCCAAGTGCTAGTGATTTCCCTCCCTAACTACCCTTGTTTTAACCTGTATATATTTGCATGTGTTGATTTTATATTTATTCTGTGTCTATACATTTATATATGTGCATTTATATATACATGTATGTGTGTATGCATGTCTGTGTGTACACACACACACACACACACACACACACTCTTGTCTGTCCCATTAGAATGTAGGCTCATTGTGAGTAGGGATTATTTCATTCTTAGTACTTGTATTCCCAGTACTTAGCATGGTGACTAGCATATGGTAATTAAGCACTTATTTAATGCTTATTGATTGATTGATGCAGGTTAGTATCTTCCTTACAACTTAGAGTCAGTCTTAGGAAGTCATCTAAAGCACTGAGAGGTCAAAATGATTTGACTAGTCATGTAGCCAGTATGTGTTAGAGGCAGGATTTAACCTTGAACCCAATTCTTCTTAACCCCAAACTCTTCTCTCTGTCTACTATGCCACACTTCCTCTACTGGTAATACATATCCCAGTAATGTATGCATGATTTTAACAAGGTGTTAATTAGTTTTAGTAGGTGAGAAACTATACTTTGACATAAAAAGATGCATATAGTCCTGCATTGAATTAAATGCAGACAGAAAAACTTGAAAGGTAATTTCCCATGCTAGAGAGAGCTAGCCTCAGAACTCAAGATCTAAATTAAAATTTTGCCTCTGACTACATAGTGACTGTGTGAACTGGGATAAGTCACTTAATCCTTCAGTGCCCCAAACAACTTTCTGAGATTGTAGAATGCTGAAGAGCAAGGGACTGATCTTCACTACCTCAACAGTGGAATTATCAGTGTGGTCCAGAAACCACCTTTGCCCTTGTATGTCCTATAATAGCAGATTAGTAAAATTTTGTAAAGTCAGAATAATTCTTTAGCACTTAATGGGTTATATTGGCATTTAAATTAAATCATTTTTGAGGAACCCAGTGTGTTTTATATATTGTGTGGCATAAATGTCACTTTTTTTAAAATCTCAAAATATTTTGTTGGATGTTTTGTCATATACTGCAGAACAAGCAGAATAAAAATAATATGTATTTTTTAATCATTGAATTTAAATCAGTGATGCTGATTTAAAATATCATTTTACTTTTAGAATATTACTAACAAGCTGCAAACTAACAAATAGAGTGACTCATAATATCCTGGAAGTGTTAGTATAATCTTTCACAAAGAAACCAGCATGTAATTATGGTTATATTGGCTCAAAATTAATTCTCTAGGCATTTATTCACTCTTGCTTCTCTGAATGTTGGTCATGTTTTTGTAAATAAGAATTATTTACAAATGAATGTTTTTATGTTTTACATTCATATTGCATGTACCTGTTCATTTATGAAGAAAATTTTACAGTGAACTAACCTTGTATGCAATTAAAAGTTCTAGGCAAACATTTTAAGTTAATCATTCATTTTAGAGTTTCTCTTCATATACTGCAGTTATGTCATATTTAATCATCTTTTCTTAATCTTTTTATAGTGGGAACGCTAAAAGAAATTTAAGGGAATCTTCTGAGTGTTCCTATTGCTATATTCCACAATCTGAAAATTATTTATTCTATTTTTAGAAGAATCTACCAAGTTGAATGATGGCAGTAGTACTGCTACCGTCCCCAGCCTGCCTTACACCGAAAACAGCAACAGCAGCAGTGAACTAAATTCTTCACAGAATGAATCTTTCACTAAAACATCTGACGATCCTGAAAATGGAGAAAGGGAATCTCATACACCTTTCTCTGTTCAAGAGGAAATAGGTAAGAGTATATTAACAAACTTATTCTAAACCTTTATATTAAACAAAACAATATACCCTAATTTATCTCCAAAATACTCATTAATAGCATTGCTCTCCCTTCTTCAAATGTGGGGAATAATTAATTGATGGGTTAATTGGAGGCAGCTATAGAGATTTGAAAACTATCTAAAGAATTGACATATGGAAATAAGGATTTAAAAGAAAAGAATAATTGGCTAAGGTTACTAAATAATTCAAAGGCTTTCTTCCATTAAACACAATTTAAAAAATAAGTATTTAGGGGTGGAAATTATTCTGAAATATATTATATATTTTTTTATCCTTTTTTTTTTTTTTTGGCTAGGCAATGGGGTTAAGTGACTTGCTCAGGGTCACACAGCTAGTGTTATGTGTCTGGGGCTGAATTTGAACTCGGGTCCTCCTGAATTCAGGGCCAGTGTTCTATCCACTGTACCACCTAGCTGCCCCATGTTTTTTTTTAATCATGTTAGTGCCTATAGAGTATAACTTTAATTTTTCTGTTCATGACTCAAGCTCATAGTTTTTAACATCATTTATTATTACACTGTACTTTGATATCAAGATTCCTTCAGGACCTATTGAGGTTTATAGGGCTATTTGTCCTTCTATGCAGTTGATTGTCCTGTTTTTAGTTCTCTTATCTGTTCTTTTTAAAAACTGAGATTTTTTTTAAAGTTAATGAAAACCTCCCTCTTCTCTCCAACATTAGAGAGGAAAAACAAAAACTTTATAGCAAACATACATAGCTTAGCAAAACAAATTCCTACATTGGCCATATCCAAAAATTATGTTTTGTTATGTACCCTGAATCTGTCACCTTTCTGCCAGCAAATGTACACCATGTTTCATTATAAATCCTTTAAATTATGATTGGTTATTGCATTCATCAGAGTTCTTACATCTTTCAAATCTGTTTGTCTTTACAGTATTTTTGTTATATAGATTGTTCTGGTTCTGCATACTTCACTACATTAGTTAATTCAGCTATTCCCAGATTTTTCTGAAACCATTCCCTTCATCATTTCACTCAGGACAATTTCAGCACATTCATATGCCTTAATTTGTTCAGCCATTTCCCAATTAACAAGTACTCCCTTAATTTCCAGTTCTTTGCCAGCACAAATAGAGTTGCTATAAATACTTTTCTACAAATGGGTCCTTTTCATCTTTCTTTGATCTCTTTGAGGTATAGACCTGGTAGTGAAATTACTGGGTCAAATTATGCACAGTTTAAATTTTTGCATGTAGTTCCAGATTGCTTTCCAGCATGACTTTAGCAATTCACAATTTCACCATCAAAATGCCCTATTTTCCCACAGCCCCTCCAGCATTTCTGATTTTCCTTTTTTGTTGATTTTAACAAAATGATGAGTATGTGGTAGAATTTTAGAATTGCTTCATTTTGGTTTTGTCTAATTATTAGCAGCTTAGGATATTTTTTTTCACAAGATTGCTAATAGCTTGGATTACTTTCTTCGAAAACTGCTGGTTCATGTCCTTTGACCAATTATCCATTGAGGAATGGTTATTCTCATCAACTTGAGTTAGTTTCTTAGAAAAGAGACCTTTGTCAGAGAAACTCACTGCATAGATTTTTCTGATTTACCTGCTTTTCTAATTTTAGCTGCACTAGCTTTCTTTATGTAAAACATTTTTAATTTCATGTAATCAAAATTTGCCATTTTACATTTTATGAGCTTCTCTATCCATTGTTTAGCCACAGACTCTTTTCCCCTATCCATAGCTCTGAAAAATAATTTCTTCTTTGCTCCTCTAAAATTGTTTAGGATGTTAACCCTTTATGGCCAAGTCATATGCCCATTTGGAGCTTATTTTGGGCTGCATTGTGAGATGCTAATCTTTGTCTAATTTGTTCCAGACTGCTTTCCTCAGCAGTTTTTTTGAATAGTGAGTTTTTACAAAGCCCAGTAGCTGAGTTTTTCAAACGTTAAACTACTGTTCTCATTTGTTGCTATATATTGCATATCTTATCTGTTATTTAGATTTGTTTCCTTAGATTTAGAATTATTTAGATCTGACTTTATTTTTATAGAGAGTGTTTTGTAGTTGTATTTATTCATATAGTTTCTGTATGTGGTAGAGATGCTTTATACATCCTGTAGTCATTTTAAATAGAATTTCTCTTTCTTTCTACTGGGTTTTGTTGATAATGCACACAAATGCTGATGTTTTATATGGGTTTCAGCATGTATACTGCAACCTTGCTGAAGTTAATTGTTTCAGTTAATTTTTAATTCACTTTCTAGAGTTCTCTGAATTAAATCATTTCATCATCTATGAAAAGCAATAATTTTGTTTCCTCTTTGACCATGAGTTAATTTTTCTTGCCTTATCTCTATATCTAACGTTTCTAGCACTATCAGATTTAGTAGTGATAATGAATATTCCTTATTTACCCTTGATCTTAATTGGAAAGGTCCCTATTATATATAATGCTGGTTCTTGGGTTTAGATAAATACTACTTATCATGTTAATGAAAAATTCTTATTCTTATGCTTACCAGTGTTTTTAACAGGAGTGGGTGTTTCATTTTACCAAAACTTTTTTCCTGCATCTTTTGAAATAATCATGTGTCTTTGTTGTTCTTGTTATTGCTATATACTATTATGTTTATAGCATTCCTAATATTGAATCAATCCTGTATTCCTGGTATAAAAACATCCTGCTTGTAGTATATATGTGTGTGTGTGTGTGTGTGTATACACACACACACACACACACATATATATATACATATATATAATCTTTGTGATATCGTTACATTAGCTGTTTTGCTAATATTTTATTTAAAATTTTTGCATCAGTATTCATTAGCAGTACTGATTTGTAGTTTTCTTTCTGTTTTGACTCTCTCTAGATTAGGTATCAAGACCATTATTTGTATCATAGAAGAAATTTGGTTGGTTTTTTCTTTTCCTGTTTTTTCAAACAGCTTGTGTAATATTGGAATGAATTTTTCTTTAAATTTTTTTGTATAATATTTTTTATAACTCCGTCTAGTTCTAAAGTTTTTTTTCTTTGGGAGGTCATTAATGGCTTGTTCAATTTTTTCCCCCCTAACATTGGGTTATTTGTGTTCTCTTCAGTTTCTCGTTCTATAATTCTAGGCATTTTACATCTTTGTAAGAATTTATCCATTTAATTTGTATCGTTGATTCTATTGGCATATAATTGGGCAAAATAGTTTATTAATTTCCTTTATTTCTTCATATGTTGTGAATTTACCTTTTGCATTTTTTGATACTAGTAATTGGGTTTACCTTTTTAAAAATCAAATTATTTAATTCAATACTTTTTCCTTCCATTTTTAAAAATTTCTGATTTTTAAGGACTTCTATTTTGGTATTTAACAGTGGTTTTTTAATTTATTGGTTTTCTAAAGATTTTCCCCGCAATTCATTGATTTTTTTTTTCTCTCTTTGATGATAAAAGGGTTAGAGATATAAAATTTCCCCTACTTGGGCAGCATCCCAAAACTTTTAGTATGTTGTCATCATTGTCTCATTGTTGTGGTTATCTTTAATGAAGTTACCTGTTGATTGCTTGATTTTTTGGTTTGTTTGTTTTACCTGCCCATTCTTTGGCAGTCTCCACTGACCTGCCTGTCTCCCAATGCAGACCTGCCCTGTGAAAATGACTTATTTAATTTTTTTTCTTGGATTTCTCAGTCAGGACTTGGTCTGGTGCATTTTTCTACATCTTTTTGGAAAAATTGTGAGGAATGCTGGCAGTGTGCTGCTCTCTCCTACTCTGCCATCTCTTATCTCTTTATAGATTTTCCTATGTATTCCTTGATTGGAGCTGCCACTTCTTACTTCTGTAGTTGTGCTTGCTCAGAATATATCTTCCCCTGCCCCCTTTTCTAATTGGTATTTCTAGTCTGCGTTCAGGTTGGAAACCAGGTCTTCAGGCTTCTTAGTATTGTATGTAAAATAAGAATCTTCAGGGCAGCTAGGTGGCGAAGTGGATAGAACACAGGCCCTGGAATCAGGAGGACCTGAATTCAAATGGCCTCAGACACATAACACTTGCTAGCTGTGTGACCCTGGGTAAGTCACTTAACCCCACTGCTTAGCACCCCCCCCAAAAAAAAGAGCCTTTGATTAAGGGTCTTGCCTATGAGTAAATTGCCTGAACTTTTGTGCATGTACTTGGTGCCCTCTCTTGGCTACTTTTCTTTTTTACTTGCTTTCTTGTTCTTAGTTGTATGCCAGACAGGTGAGGTTTTACTATATTAATTATGATATATCAACCACCTTTAGCTTTTTACCAACTTTTTGTTATCAGATTTCAAATCGGAGAAGTCTAATGGAGAAAGAAGTGATTCCCCTGGAACAGGGAAAGGTACACCTGGCTCAACACGAATGGTCACAAGATTACGAAATCCAGACAGCAAGCTGAGTCAGCTAAAGAGCCAACAGGTTGCTGCAGCAGCACATGAAGCAAATAAATTATTTAAGGAAGGCAGAGAGGTGTGTATCTTTTTAAAATATTATTTTTATGGTTTAAAGTAATTCTCATTTATGCTATCATTTTTTAAAAGTGGAAGGATAATAAAATTCTCTGTAGATTGTGGGGATTTGCTGTTGAATTGCTTTTTCCACCTTTAAATAGATTCGGTTTCTATGAAATTAAAAGTGCTATTTACAGGAAGTCTTGTTGTACGCAAGAGGCAGAGTGGCAAGATGGATAAAGAGCTAACTTTGAAACCAGGAAGACCTGGGTTCAAGTCCTTCTTCTGGCACATCCTGCCCATGTGACAGAAAGATGTAAAGAAGGATTTCCTTGCTTCCAACTTCCATAGTTCAATGAAAATACGGTTCTGGTCCCTGTCCCTATTACATATCCTTATTCCATCCCACTTACAAATCGGTTCAATTTTTCATAACCTCATTCAGCATAAGAACTCCCACTTTTCAAATGTTTATGGTTTGAATTTACTTTGGTTTTCTCATGACTTAAGTTGCCACAAAACATCGATGTAACAGGTTGGGATGGTAATGGTGTTCAGAACCTTCATATGTTAAACATAATCAGCCCTAGGTTTTTCATACAATAAGGCCATTAAGTGTGGCACCTGAAAAACTGAAATAATGTGCTGGTTTCACAGGAGATGAATTATGGCTGAACCATTAAGGATTCTGATCCACATGGGTAGAGGATGGGAAATGCTAGTCTTTCAGAAGCAGTTGTGGGAATTGACAGAATAGTAGCTTAGATATGGTTGGAGAATAGGGCAGGGGTATGCTTGATCCAGCTTTAACTGGAATTAAAGCCAATTGTTAAATTTTGAGTGTGAGTATTTACACCTCAAAAATCAGCAAATGCTATAAATCAGGGCTTGGGTATTTTGCTTTGTTCATTGTCTAGACTTAAAATGATGGAGAAAATGTTAGTAATGCAGGTTAAACTTAAAAGTGTGTCACACAATTTTTTTTTTGAGATATTTACCAGCATGCCACTCGAGTAGTGTATGCTATGACATTCTATGATGTCAGCATAGCATTAAGAGCAAGCATTCTCTACTTAGAGGGTGCAGTAAGATCTATTTTGATAAAAACTTGTGACTCCTAGAAGTCATCGCAGCCAAATTTTGTAGTCACACACACACACACACACACACACACACACACACACACACACACACACACGTATAGAGGTGTGTGTAGTTGTTTTCTTTTTTGAGATTCATTTCTGTATCTCATCCAGGCAAGAAGTGCAGCACTCGCTCACAGCCCGACCTAAGTGCTGATGAGCACAGAAGCATTAATCTGCTCCATTTCTGACTTTAGTGGGTTTACTCATCCTTAAGCAGCCTAGTGGCCCCCTGTTCCTGGGGCTCACCATATTGGTGGTGGAATTAGTGCAGACATCTGATTAGCTTTAGCCCTACTGTAGCTTACAATTCTTTTTATTTAATTTAAATTTTTTTATTTTTTCCATATGCTTTTGAGTTGAAAATTTTTCTCCCTTTTCCTCCCCCCCATCCTCCCCAAGACGGCACACAATCTGATATAGGCTTTACATTTACATACCCATTAAACATATTTTCACATTAGTGAAGTTCTAAGTAAAAATTAAAACCAATAGGAGGAACCATCAGAAAGATGAAACAAAACTCAACAGAAGATTAAAATAAGTGATAGCGATTCGACTTCCATAGTTCTTTCTTTGGATGTGGACAGCATTATCCATCCCGAGGCCTCTGGAAATGTCTTAGATCCTCATAATGCTGAGAAAGGTTCAGTTTAACAATCTTATTCATTGCATAACGTGGCTGTTATTGTGTACAAAGTCCTCTTGGTTCTGCTCACTTCACTCAGCATCAGACCGTGTAAGTCTTTCCAGGTTTTTCTGAAGTCAGCCTGTTCATCATTTCTTATAGCACAATAGTATTCCATTACATTCATATACCACAACTTGCTCAGCCATTCCCCAATTGATGGGCATCCTCTCAATTTCCAATTCTTTGCCACCACAAAAAGAACTGCTGTGTATATTTTTGTACATGTGGGTCCTTTTCCCATTTGTTTGATCTCTTTGGGATATAGCCCTAGAAGTGCTATTGCTGTATCAAAGGGTATGCACATTTTTGTAGCCCTTTGGGCATAGTTCCAAATTGTTCTCCAAAATGGTTGGATCATTTTGTGGCTTACAATTCTTGAAATTAAGTGATCCACCTGCCTCAGCCGCTCAAGCTAGGCCCACCCTACCTGGCCAACATTATATTTGATCTAGCACATTTTAAAAAATCCTTCCTAGGTGACAGTTTTATGGGATTGCTCTAAAGTATTCTTAAAACCTGTGAACTCTTGGAAGGTACACAGATTAAAGAGTTAAGAGGCTTGTATTCTAGATCCAGCCATGCTGCTAACAAGCTAAAGTTAGTAGCCTAGTCCTCTGGGCCTTTGTTTCTTTATTATAAAATGAAAAATTTGTATTAAATGACCTCCACGGTTCTTTCTAGCTCTTAAGATTTTGTAATTCTCAGGTGTAGATATAGTAAAGTAGCAGACCAAGAAAGTATTACAGGTAGTATTTACTGAATAGAAATCTCTTTAGGTAGCTTTAAGTACACAGTAATAGCTTGAAGTGCTATCCTTATGTAGTCATAATTTGCCATGTGGTTATTCATGTTTTACATGTATTTATTTAATTTGCTTAATTTAAATTTATTTAGTTTAATATAGGTTATTACCTAATGTTTGCTTGGACTTGATGACTACAGGTTATTGAAGGGAAAAAAGTTTGTCAAATCAATTTGCATATTTTGTATGCTTTAATAAAATCTTTTTATATATCTGTTTCCTCGAGTAGGTCCTGGTAGTTAACTCTCAAGGAGAAATTTCACGATTGAGCACCAAGAAGGAAATCATTATGAAAGGAAATATCAACAACTTTTTCAAGCTAGGTCAAGAAGGGAAATATCGTGTCTACCACAATCAGTACACCACCAATTCTTTTGCACTGAACAAACACCAGCACAGAGAGGACCATGATAAGAGAAGGCATCTTTCACATAAATTTTGCTTGACTCCAGCGGGGGAGTTCAAATGGAATGGTTCTGTACATGGGTCCAAAGTACTTACAATATCCACCCTGAGGTTAACCATCATCCAGCTGGAAAACAACATCCCTGCACCATTCCTGCATCCCAATTGGGCCTCTCACAGGTAACAGAGACTCAAGTCAACTGATGGCTGCCATACTGAGCCTGGGATTTAAATAGATTTCAGGGGATCTTTTAAACTTGGACTGGAAAGAAAAAGGTCACATCTGTATTTTTGCTAACCTCTGATTAAAATTTAACATTTCCATCAGTTATGAAATGTAGACAACAGACATTCCATGGCCTTCCAAAGGGGTCCATGGCACGCAAAAAGTTTATGAAGCCCCATCTTTAATGATTGTTGAGTTAGTGAATGAACTTAGAAATGTTACCCAAGTTTTAATTGTGTCTGTTTGCCAACAGAGTGTAATTTTTAGATAATGTGTCATAGCAGAAAATTCCATTAAGGTTGTTTTTACACTGCTTAATAGAAATGTTTAAATGGAGGTATACTTATTATATAAAATTATGAATACAGTATTTAAAATTTCAACTGATTGCAGCTGTTTGTCTTCTTTATAAAATGTAGGTCAAATTGGATCAAAGCGGTTCAGATGTGTAGCAAACCTAGAGAATTTGCTTTGGCTTTGGCCATTTTGGAATGTGCCATTAAGCCAGTTGTCATGCTGCCAATCTGGCGAGAATCTTTAGGACATACCAGGTAAGGGAAAGGAATCCTGTTTGATACGTGAATTGTAATTTATTCTCTGTTGTAATCCTAATTAGTCAGTTATGGAAATTAACGTGAGTGACAGGAGAAAAAAATAAAGTAAAATACATTCTTTTTTATGTTGTTTCTTAAATCATGCTAGTTACCTAAGACCAACAAATTATTAGCAGATTTGCATTCCCCTACCTACTCACCCCCTCTCTCCATGGAAATTGTTTGTTAATCTAAATTTACTTAGGAAGTAGCAGTAGCAGCCAGAACATTTTGCACTCTTTAAATGTTTAAATTATTGTGGTATGAAATATTCAGATATTTTTATATATTTTAAATGTATATGGGATTTTAAATGTGTTATTTGTGTGATTGTTATAATTGGGTATATTATATGAACCAAATTTATTATTTTTTTTTTAAATTTAAAGACTAAAAATAATACAAAAACATATGTACAATTTGGTTGCCAAATCAGCATGCTTAACTTTCATTGGAAAGGCTGGTAGGGAAGAGGAGATACAATATTACATTTGAAGCATTGTATCGTATGAAAGAGGAATTACACTTATTTTTCTTGGTACCAGAGGACAGGAATAGGAGTGATGGGTAGAAGTTGGTGAGAAGCAAATTTAAACTTGATGTTAGGAAAAACTTACTGAAAGTTAGAATTTTCCAAAAGTGGAATGGAGTTGCCTTAGGAGGTATCCTGCCACTGGAGGCCTTCACTGACTGGGTCACCACTTATTTAGACATTGTGTAGAAGGTAATCTTGCTGACATACAGATTAAATCAGATCGTCTCTGACACACTCTCCCCCACCCCCAGTCTAACTGAGATCTGTGACATAACATGTAACATATTTCTCCTTCCATATTTTGGGATTTTTTCCCCCCCACAAAAATCCTACATATGGACATCCTCTTTTCTGTTTTGAAATAGCAGGGACTGTGGCCACCAGACACTTCCCTAAATGAAAATGGGCTTTGGTTTTGGAAAAGAAGACAGATTTATGTTAAAGGGTCTAATGGCCTGATGCGGTTGGAGAATTAAAGAGTTAGACAGTGTTCTCTGTTTTCCTATGATTTCCTCAGTTTTTCCATCTCATTTTTTAGACAAAGGTATAGACTCTACCCTCACTTATTTTAGAATGAAAGTGTTGGTGAAAAACAGAACAACTTGGGAATAAATATGATTTATTCTTGAGAGGGGGCAGCATGTTCTATTAGGTAGTTGACGTTGGAGTCAGGAGATTTGGGTTCAAGTTTGACATGCCAGCTCTGTGACTCTGCCTGAGCAAGTCACTTACTTTCTCAGTGTCCCAGGAACTTTACAAGACCACAAATTTATAGAATAGTTACTAATGTACATGGAGGGAGGGGTGGGAAAATCTGAGCAAAAAAGTTTCTTCTAAAAAAAATTATCCTGTGATCCTATTATTTTTCTCTATTTATATATATATATATATATATATATATATATATATATATATATATTTACTAGACTTCCTGCCCATATTACTCTATCACCAACATTCTGTGTCTCATTTGCCTTATTGAAACTTTACTTGTAGAGGTGATTTGTATGCCTAATGCATTCTGTCTCATAGGATCATGGATTGAGATAGTGCTAGAAGGGACTTTAGAGTCTCTAGTCTAAGCTCTTCATTTTACAAATGATGAAACTGAGGTTCATAGAAGTTAATTGACTTACTCAGATAGAAAGTGACAGAGCTAGAATCCAAACTCAAGTCCTGTGACCCCAAATTTTGCATTTTTTCCTCTCCACTAATCTAATCCAGTAAGCAGTTACTTAATGCCTGTTGTTTGCTATGTTTTGGGTATATAAGGAGAAAATGAAAAAGAGCTCTTTCCCTGAAGGAACTTATATTCTTTTGGAGGAGCTTAGGAAACTTCTACAGACTTGTGGGGAAATAACAAAGATTATCATGTATATTATTTCTTGAGATATTTATCTGTATTTTAAGAACTGAATTTCAATTTGTATCATCTAGACTCACTTGAACCTTATTTTTGTTAAAAACCTTTCCACTTAATTTGTGGTTCTGGAAACCTTATTCAACAGTTATTAAATATCTTGTGTCTAGAGACACTGCACTAGGCCCTGGGGATGGTTAAAAGTTTTTTTAAAATATGGTATCTGTCCTGGTGGAGCTTAAGACTGGTGAGGGTCACATTATACTTTAACATGCATTTATTAATTGTTCCCTCCTCAAACTCTCCCCTCCCCCTAAAAGAATTTGTGTGGTTTTTTTTTAATCTGAAGTGAGGAAAGGTCTTTTACCAAATGAGATCAAACAAACTTCCTTAACAGTATGTCCATAAATTTAAAGGATGGTTAAGAATTTAACAGTCAGGGCAAGATATTATAAGCATAGCTTAAACAAGGCAGAAAATCCTAGAGTATATGACGATATAATGAATTGTTTAATATAGAATTAAGAGTCATGTACATAGAAATTATAGTTACATCTTTTGAGATGGATGAAATTAGTGAAAGGACATAAAGATGGAGAGAAATGGGCCAAAGACAGATCTGTAAAGAGCCAGTTTGGCTTGAGAAAAATGAAAGAAGGAGTAGAGTAGTATAATGAAAAGATCACTGAACTTGGATTCACAAATTTGAGTTTGTCCATTCATTATTTATTAGCTAGGTCGCCTTAGGCAGTTCCCCCATCCTTTTAGCCTCAATCTTCTCAACTGTGAAATGAAGATAAAGGAGATTACATTACCTTTCTCAAGGAAAGGTGAAGAAGACACTTTGTAAGCATTTAATGCATTTTAAAGTATTACTAGTTATTAAATACGAAGTCATTATTATTAGACTAGAAAAGTAGAGTGGTGCCAGCTTTTGGGGAGCTTTTAATATCAGACTAAGAAGTATAAAGTTTAGTGCCTGGTGAGTACAAAACTCATTGAGAGATGTTGAGCAGAGGAATAATATGACCAAATACACATAGCCTTGTAAAGAATTGTAGCAGAAGGTGAGGAGAAAGTAAAAAGGAGAAGACTTACTAAGACAAGATTGCAGTAGCCTAGGGAATGTTTCACTGCTAGGATGATGGTGCTAAAAAAGGAAAAGGAGGGGATGAATCCAAGAAATACTGCAGAGATAGAATCTTTAGGATTTCATTATTGGTTGGCTATGAGAGAAAGGAATCAAAATTACTACTAAATTTTCAGATGTGGATTGGACAAATGGAGATTCCCCTGGTAGAAGAGTAAAATCAGAAGAAGACAGTTATTTAGGGGAAAAGTTGTGCTTAAATTTGGACACACTGAGTTTGAGGTACTGTGGTCTGTCCAGATGGAGATTTCCTATAGCAGTTGGGCATGCAGGTTTGGAACTTAGAAGACAGGTAAAGGTTTTACTTGAATATGCTTATTTGTTACAAGGAAAATCTTCTGTTTTGGGGAGTGGAGGGTGAGGGTGGAGAGAAAAAAGCATGAGTTAGTCAGTAATGATAGAGATGCAAATATAGAGGAAAACAAAAAGTTTAGAAGAAAACACAAACAGTGCAGTTTTGTTACCATTGTGTTAAATTTAATTTTGTTGTTTTTTAGTTATGTACTACTCTTAATGATCCCATTTGGGATTTTCTTGGCAGAGATACTGAAGTGGTTTGCCATTTCCTTCTCCAGCTTATTTTACAGATGAGGAAAATGAGGTAAATGGGTTAAGTCACACAGCAAATAAGTTTCTGAGGCAGCATTTGAACCTCAGGTCTTCTTGACTCAAGGCCTAGCACTCTATCCACTGCACCACTCAGCTGCCCCATTAAATTTAATATATTCCTTTAAAAACAAACTATTTAAAAGAACTTTATGATTTCATTGATGATTATTTTGTTTGTACATCAAAATGTCCATGTTTGGTTATTAGATTCATATTAGATTAGAATCTAATGGTTATTAGATTCATAATAAAGACAATTATTTTAAAAACAAGAAAAGAAAAATAAGGAGTGGTGATTTAAATTAGTGAGTCATTAGATGTAAGCAGTGATAGTTGAAGCCTTGGGAGTGAATGAGATTATTAAGGGAAAAGAGTAGGGTAACAAAAGAAATTTCAGAGATTCAAGGACAAAACCATGTGGAACACCTATCATGAGGAGTTGGGAAGAGGACAACAGAAGAAACATTAAAGGAATGGCTACAGAGATGGTTCAGCATATCCAGAACAAGAGGATAATCAGTGTGTCAAATACTGCAGAAAGATCAAGGAAATAAAGCCTGGAAAAGGTGGCAAATGCAGTCATTGGTAGTCTTTGAGATTATATGGTAGGGATGGAAACCAGATTTCGAGGAGTCAGTGAAATGTTCAGTAGGAAAATGAGTTCATTAAAGGCAACTAAGAAGTTTGTCTTTTAAAGGGAATGGATGAGTGGCAGCTAGGTGGTGCAGTGGATAGAGCGTTGGCCCTGAAGTCAGGAGGACCTGAGTTCAAATCTGGCCTCCGACCAAACACTTAACACTAGCTGTGTGACTCTGGGCAAGTCACTTAAGCCCTGATTTCCTTAAAAAAAAGAAAGAACGGGAATTGGTTAATGAGATATAGCTAAATAAAGTAGTAGCATCTAGGAAAGAACTTTTTAGAATAAGGAAAACCTGAGTGTGTTTGTAGAGAGATGGGAAGGAACTAGTGAGGTAGCAGAGAGTAAAAGAAAGGGTGATTGCTACAGTAACATCTTGGGAAAGGATGGGATCAAGGGCACAGGTAGAAGAATTAGCATTAGCAAGGAATTAGGGATGACTTTTCCTCAGAGATTAGAAAGGAGAATATGTAATAATGATGTACTTTGCTCACTGTAAGGTGGTATGTGAAGGATTAAATATGTGCATATATGTAAGCATCAGCTAGATGCCATCTCCTCTTCATTCAGTGTCAGGCCCCCAAAGTCACCACTAAGCCTGCCCACAGCGTGAAATGTAGAGATCATAATGGTCTGGAAAAGTGTAGAATGACTTGGAGTTGGGAGAGACCTAGGTTCAAATATTACCTTCATCACCTTCTGGCTGTGTGTCCCTGAGCAAGTAACTTAACCACTCAGCCTCAATTTCCTCATCTCTAAAATGGCTGTAATAATAATTGTGCCTATCTACAATTTCTAACCTACAAAAACATTTTAATTGAACATTTCTAATACTTCAAGAATCCCTTGTAATGGGATAATATTCCTGATAAATTATTAATTTTAAGCTCTTATTATTCAAATATATAAACTACCAAAGTCTTTCAAAAGGTATTTTGTAATAAAATGCTGCTTTTTAGATTACACAGAATGACATCCATTGAAAGAGAAGAAAAGGAGAAAGTGAAAAAAAAAGAGAGAAAACAGGAGGAGGAAGAAACAATGCAACAAGCCACATGGGTGAAATATACATTTCCAATCAAACATCAGGTAATCGTCACTAAAATCTTTTAACAGTCATCAGCAAACATTTATTAAATGCCTACTATGTGTAAGGCCCCAAGTTAAGCACCAGGGATACAAAGAAGAAAAAACAAAACCAGACGCTACCTTCAAGAACCTTACATTATATCCAGGGGAATAACATGTACACCTTTAAATCTATACAAAATAAATACAAGGTAGACCAAGGGTGAGAGGTTGCATTAGCAATGAAGAGAGATCAGGAATGAAATAGCTCTGTGTGAGAGTCGTCACTTGAGCTGAACTTTCAAAGAAACTAGGAATTCTAAGAGGCAGAGGTAAAAAGAAAGTGCAAACACAGTTCATCAGACAGGTGAAATAGAATAAGGGATAGTATGCAAAAAGGTTTTGAGATGTAGAGTAGGGTCGAAGAGCTCATGGCAAAATTGCCTTCATTTTCTCAGTCACGAATGAGGTCTTTTGTTGAAATGGGAAGAATACTTAAGAAAAAAAGGTTTGGAATAGTCTCTTTGGAGTATGAAAGAGAATCAGTTGAATTATTAAAGTTTAATTTCTTAAAAGTATTTTTAGTTGTTTTGGAGTCTTCTGGTTTATAATTTAAGTCGTTTGTAGTCATTTTTATTTATCTTATAAATAGCTATATTTGATAATTTAAAAAAATTTTCATCCTAACAAAATATAAACTACATTATAAGTTAATTCTTTGTTTAACTTGTTGGGATAACTGTAAGTATAGCATTTAATATATAGATAGAGATAGTTACTTAGTTATCTATGGCAAAGACCAAAGCAGATTACTTTCTATTTGTTTTCCTTGTATCTATATTTATTTTTCTGTCTTTGAGAAGGAGCCAATCCTTTCCTTTTCATCTCCCTGTGGCTTTTAAGTGATATTCTTCCTTTCTGATCTCTATTGAAATGCCTAACTGAATATGATATTATTTAGATAAAACATACAAATACCTTATAAAATGTGTCATTTGTGTTGCTTGATCAAAATAATTCCCTTTTTAACAGGTTTGGAAACAAAAAGGAGAAGAGTATAGAGTAACGGGCTACGGTGGTTGGAGTTGGATTAGTAAAACACATGTTCATAGGTTTGTCCCTAAATTGCCTGGAAATACTAATGTGAATTACAGAAAAATATTAGACAGTAAGTACCTCAGATTATTTTTTCTATACTTTTAATTTCTTGTTTATTGAAACCACATTAGCCATGTCCTGGGTAAAATTGTTTTTCTTCTACTTTATAAATAGAACATGTTTTAAATGATGTGTTTTATTTTATTCATATAGTATAAAAAATTAGTAAGTGAGAAATAAGGAAAGTCAGAGAATAGTAGAGCTTCATAAATAAGTAGGTGTCCTAAAGATCAGGTCACCTAAACAAAATTTGTTTGGTTTTATAAATACCAGTGACACTTCATTTATTCTGATGCTGTTTCTCTCAACAGTCGAGAATCAGCAAGTGGCCCAATAAGAATTAAGAACAGGCAGAATGATGAGTTCATTTATTTATTTCACTCATAGCAGAGCCCCTCAGAGACACTGACCCCATTTACTTCAAACAAGCTTGTTAGTTTCTGAACAAAACAAAAGCTACTTAGTTTGTGGACCTGTAACATATTTACAGAAGAATGCTTGAAATGGGCAAGAAGTGACATCTGACAATGAAATAGAAGAGACAACTCAGACAGTGAAGTAGCCTGAGATTCATTTAAGTAGACAGGAGCCAGCATGCCTATATACCTCATTAGTCCAATGTTACTAGCATGGTACAATAATAAATATTTGTAATGACGCTATCAAGAAAAAATTAAGTGATGTTTATGTGAGAGGTAAGTATATAAAACGTTTTAGGAAAATTTCCATCTAAGTAGTTAATTGTGAAGTTGTAGAATATAGAGGAATAAGAATTATATGTGGCTAATAATAATAGCTAGCATTTAAGGATTAAGCATTAAACATTTAACCTAAAACTAAAGCTTTAAGGATTGCAAAGTACTTTATATATGTTAATTTATTTGATTCTCAAAATAACACTCTGTGGTAGGTACTGTTATTGTATGCATTATACAGATAAAGAAACTGAGGATCTGAGAGATTGTAAATGGCTTACTCAGCGTCACACAGCTAAATGTCTGAACAGAATTTGAGTTCAAATCCCCCTGATTAAAATCTAGCCCTCTGACACCTAGCTGACATATATCACTGTTCTTCCCCTAAAGATCCTGAATAAATGAAGTGTTACTATATTTTATGGCAGCCTGGTAAACAATATAATGTGATTTTATAGTAAACCATTAGCTTTGTAATGTAATTAGCTAACGTTTTTGTATAAAGAGTATTTTATAAGATGTTCACCTCTTTTTGGCTTGTGTTAGCAGGTGGATTGGTGTCAGTTCAGTGTTGTGTTCTCTAGTTACTAAATTGGCCCCAAGAGGGATTGCCTTGGTGGAATTGTGGAGACAGTTTGATTTTTGTATACAGCAGTGCTGAAAACATCATAATCTGTTTGTCTTTTAATAGAGCTATAATTTACTTTATGGCACAGACTCTTATAAGTAGTGAGTGTGCAGTATTTGTTATTCATGATCCATTACAATCTAAGGGACAATCCAAATTCTTTTATTATATAGGAATTTGTTATATGAGCTATTCCAGTAAATCACTCAGCACATGGAAATGTTCTTTTTTGTCATGAAGAGATGTTTATTATGAATGTATTTGTTTTATATAATAAACTGATTATGTATTCAAGGTTGTCCAGGATATCCCACCTCCCCCTGCCCTTCACTTCCCATAACCTAATTCCCAGTAGTAGGGTAGTGCTACCTAGTTGGATTTTGGCATGCTTTTCACTCATGCCTTGAGCCAGCACCACTTCTCCATGGTGGCAGCAGTGGATGAAGCAATCATATGGAAGCTTTTCAGAGGGACAAGCTAGGCTGAGCTGCTGTAGTGGTGGCAATGGTGGAATACACTTTTTCTGTCATGTGTTAGTAAACTTCTATCACGGTGGATAGTCACTTATTATATGATGTAAATATTAAGAGATTTACTAAGGATGATACAGCACTTAGTATTTATTGTATTCTGTATTTGGGAAGTTACCTCTTATGGCCAAAGCAAATGTATCAATAATTTTTAAGTGTATAGTACACAAGGAAAAAAGAGGATATGCTTTCATTTTTAGACTTTAGGAAAAGACTTTTTTAAAAAGTTTATATATTCTGATCAACCAACCATTTCATTTGACAGAATAAACATTTTTTTAATAGTCTGATTCATCATCAATACAAAAGTGGCCAACAACATAACAAAATTCTTGGGTTTTTCAGTAATTTAAGATTATTTAGTGGGACCACGTTATTTTTTAAATGAAAATGTTTAAAGTGAGGAACATGTCAACTTTAGTGTGACTTATTGGTGCAGGTCTGTTGTATTTGCCTTGCATTCAGTAGTTAAACAGGGCCTACACAGTAGGTTACCTGAAGATTGTTACCCCATCTCCCTTTCCCCCTTCTTCCCTTCACTGGTGCCTAGCCCTCTCTCCTAAGTGTCCTTATGGTATCTCCTTTCCCTTCTGTTTCTAGTGCCTTCCACCCTGCCCACCCACCAAAAAAAAGCCAACCCTAAAGATGCTATTCTTTGAACAGCATCGTAGCATTCTTATACTGTGGAATATATGATAGAGTACCTCTTCCACTGTGTGTTTGCGTTTAAATAGGGGATTGAAATCTAGAAAATATTTATAGTTTCAGCCCTTAGTACACAGAGAAGATTTTTTGTCATCTCTAAAATCATACCAAGTAGTCAGTCACTACTCTTCTGCTTGTGGTAAGGCTAGGCTTGTGTTATAGATTTTGGGGAGGAAATGATAAAAAACCATGTGCTTTTTTGAGCAAAATAAGTTAATCAGTATAAAATGCTATAAATTTTCAAAATTAAAAAAATAAAGGTAAATTCATTATGTCCATGAGTATTTAATACTAAGATTAAATTATATTTTAATGTTATTGAATACAGAGATCCTAGTATGTAAATGGTTTTGATTCACAGCGAATAAGAAACATTCCACTATACCAGATATACAAAAAAAATGTGTAGAATTATTAGAATACTGGTAGTATCTGATTATTTTAATATTTGGTTCTTTCTAGCCAAAAATCTTGACGCTGGTGAAAATGAGTGTGAACTTGATAAAAGAAGAAGTCTAACGCGAAGTCCAACAAAAGTAAAATTGGAGACCAGTTCTCAGAAAAGTAAAGCAAGTGATTCAGAAATGCTACAAGAAATAGACCAAACTGAAATGGAAACTACAAAAATTTCTGAGAAGAAAGACCAAACTAAGGAAGAAAGTACAGTGCTTAAAGAAAAACCTGAAGTTGATATGACCTCTTCAGATGTAGTTGCTACAAAAGAAAAAGGTACGGCAATGATGATTTGTATTTTTAATACAGATGTGTGAATATGTGTATGTGTGTGTATATATGCATACATAAATACATTTCAAGGATCTATTATTTCACTTCTCAAGTGCTCCCTGCACCACTGCAGATTCCATCTTCTCTGTTATTTAGTAGGTGGTCTTCAGTAGCTTTGGCCAAATGTTTATTATCCTGAAGCCAGCCTTGTAGCAATATCCGCATGACTGTCTCCGTATCATGTTTGTGTCTGTGATTACACGAAAATATACACACAAGCACATATATACATCAATAGATATGTATATATAAAGTATTGTTTTTCTTAAAATATATGTGAACTTGAAGATAATTTAAGATAAAAAAAATCTTCTTTTTAACAAGATCTCCTGACACAATGCCTAATACATTGGGGTTAAGTGACTTGCCCAGGGTCACACAGCTAGTAAGTGGCAAGTGTTTGGTCTGAGGCTGGATTTGAACTCAGGTCCTCCTGACTTCAGGGCTGGTGCTCTATCCACTGTACCATCTAGCTGCCCCTGCATTGTAGATTATTAATAAAAGCTTATAAATCTTTATAGGTTTGTAAATCTTATGTGAAAATATTTCTTTGTATGTAGTAATTTATCAGTAAAGTTTCTGAAAAATTTGCTTTTCCAAATTCTATATTGTATTCATATGCCAGAGACTGGAAATATATATTTTGAAAATGTATAGTTTTATTTTTTATATTACCTATTTCACACTAGAATGAAAATAAAGAAAACAAGGCAATATAAAAATAAAACTATATCCATGAAATAACACTATTATTTATACATTTTAATACTGAAATTGTATTAATAGAAATGTTTTTGGTTCACAGATGAGAAAGGAATGCTTAATTCTGAAAGTAATAAGCCTATCAAGGAAGAACCTATGGAGATAGATGAAGTAAAAACAGATTCATCCACAAGATGTGAGGAAAATTCTTTTAAAGCAGATGTAATTAATGTCAGTGAGGGTTTTCATCTAAGGACTAGTTACAAAAAGAAAGTAAAATCATCCAAATTAGATGGACTACTTGAAAGGAGAGTGAAGCAGTTTACATTGGAAGAAAAACAGCGCCTTGAAAAAATGAAGCTGGAAGGAAAGACTTCTGTAGGTCCCCTGAAAAGCATGGCTGAATCATGTGTATTAGTGAAAGCAAAAGAGGGGGGTCAAGCCAACATTACTGATCAGGAGAAAACACAGGGTTCAGATAGTAACAGAACAGAAGATCTAATTCAAGAATGTTCACAAAATAATGAAAACTCTACTATTAGGATCAGTGGCTCTGATGTAACTTATACAGGTAAACATTCCACAAAAGGTCAGGCACTAGAAAAAGTCTCCATTCAGAGCCCAGAACCAGACTTCCAGAAACAAAATTCTGTCATCAGTGATGTATCAGAACCTGCAATTGCTGATAAATGTCAGAAACAAGACAGGCTTAAAGCAAAAGAACATGATGCCCTCAATGTGGATGACCAACCAGTCAGTCAAGATGAAAAAAGTATGTTGGCCACTAAAAAGGAAAATGATTTCCTGCCGGTAAATACCACTGTTTCTCTTTCTGAAAGTGTTTCAGAACCAGTGGTTCATGAAAGTACCTGTGACACAGATGTTCCAGCTACCTCTGAAGCAGCAGCTTTGGGAGAAAAATATGGAAAACAGGCATGTGACTCTGAAAATAATAGCACTTTGGAAAAGAGCTCTGAATCTTTATTCACTCAGGACAGTAACGAAGAGGATGTGCTTGCACAGAACAGCCATAAAAGTAATTTAAAATGCTCCATAGGGAACCAGGAACAAGTTCTTGAAGGTCTAAAATTAGTTTCAGACATGTCTTCTGAAAAGCAGACTCTTGAACCCAGAGAAAAAGCCAGTGGTGATATGTTGCACTGTAAAATAACTGAAGCTAATGGTGAAAAACCAAGTCAAGAGCAGAAATTAGAGAGCTCAGTGAATAAATGTCATCATCAAATAAATCTAAAGAACATAATAGACAAAAAGAATAGCGAAAATGGAGATACTGAGAAAAAGGGAGAGAAAGAAATAGCAACTACATTTCAAATTAATGGGAAAGATAACGAATTTAAGGTATTTTCAAAAGATGAATACGTGAAAGAGATCTCTGATAGTAAGGTAGGAACCGGTAATGTTGAACCAAAGGTTAATAGTATTAAAACAATTCCTGAACATGAGATCAAGCCATTAATTGTTAAGGAAGCTCCTGTAAAGCCATTCATGAATGGAGATGTCATCATGGAAGATTTCAACGAAAAAAGTAACTTGAACACAAAATCATGTTTACTTAGTTCTTCAGATATTGATGGTAAATACCAAGGTAACGTGGAAAATCTAACCTCAATCAAAGGGCCCAAGAGTATGCAACATTTGGTTGAAAAACACCATTCTAATGAAAAAGCTGCTTCTGTTGATGGTCCTTCCATAGCATCTTCACCATCGTGTAAAGAGAGCAGCTCAGTTAATCAAGTAGAAAATATGGAGGTTGAAACCTCAGAAATTAAAAAAGTTCCTCCGTCACCTGTTACTTCTGGTGAAGAGTCTAACCTAAGTAGTGATTTTAATGATCAGAATGGTGTGCCTGCTAACAAAATGGAAAATGGCAATGGAAATGCTACAAGAAAAACAGTGATCACAGAAGTCACCACAACAACATCAACTGTGGCCACAGAATCAAAAACTGTGTTTAAAGTTGCAGAAGTAGTGGCCTCCCAAGGTGATCAGCAATCGGTGGTCTCCTCTACTGAAAATTGTGCCATGTCCACTGTAACCACCACCACTACTACTGTTACAAAACTGAGCACACCCACTACTGGCAGTAATGTAGATGTCATCTCTGTGAAGGAGCACAGTAAAACTGTTGTTACAACAACAGTCACTGATTCACTGACCACTCCAGGGGGCACATTAGTAACATCAATGACTGTGAGCAAAGAGTATTCTACAAAAGACAAAGTAAAACTAATGAAATTTTCCAGACCTAAGAAGACTCGTTCTGGCACAGCTCTGCCATCCTATAGGAAATTTGTTACAAAGAGCAGCAAAAAGAGCATATTTGTTTTGCCTAATGATGACTTGAAAAAGTTGGCCAGAAAAGGTGGCATCCGAGAGGTACCTTGTTTTAATTACAATGCGAAACCTGCCTTGGATATATGGCCATATCCATCTCCAAGACCTACTTTTGGTATCACATGGAGGTAGGTGTTTTAAAGACCATTTGGAGAAATGGGTAATTATGGGAATTTTAAAAATGCATTTGAATAAATGAGTTACTAAAATTAGACTACAGAACTACATTTTAATTGACAAACACAGAAATATTAATGTAATGTAATCTAAAAGAATTCAGACCCAAAAAGCTAGCATTCACAAACAGAAAAGAATTGCTGAAGGGTCAGGATATTTGGAACTTTGGAGATTAATCTCAGCTTTGCTTTTAAGAGAACAAAAGAGAAATGTCAAGCTAGGTTGCTTCCATAGTTTAATTTCCCAAGTTGCTGCCATTTATTTTGTACAGTGATGAGATTATTCTTATGGAATCAAATTATTGTATGTTTCTGAAATATTGCTACTTTATTTCCATTAAGTAATGCATAAACAATGATAAAAGTAAGTTGAAATGTTTTTGAATCATTAAAAGGAAATCACTGCTGAGATGGTAACATCCAGATTTGTGCACAGTAAACACTCCTTCAGGTTCTGCAATATATATATATATATTTCAAAAACAACTCTTAAGATTTTCCTTACCCTTTTAGATTCCTTTGGAGTTTATTTCCAGAAGTACTCCTTATTTAGGAATTTCTTACGCTAGACATTGTTTCTAGGGACAAATTGTCACACATCATTTTTAAGTTTATAAACTCATCATATGTTAAAGCTGGAAGGGATCTTAAATGACCTCAGTTAGCTCAATACTCTCATTTTGAAGATGAGAAAACTAAGGCCAGTTTGGGTGATTTACCCAAAGTTAGATGTGTACTAAGTGTCAGAGCTGGAACTACCCTTTCTTCCAACTCCCAGTCCAGGGCTCTCTGTTACACTTTTCATCTGCTCTTCCCTCTCACTTGGCTGCTGTGCTTTTTCCCTTTGTCAAATGCTGTGCCCTTGAGCTCTTTCTTTCCCTTATCTTTAAAACTCGGAAGGGTAAAGAGTCTAAATAATGGGAACTCTCATGTAGTTTTGACTATTCAGTTAGACATGCTGGGGTGCCAGGGTACATATTAGTTGCCATTAGGAAGCTTTTGTACATAATTCTCTGTGCTTCCATTAATCACAAATGTCACTTGAGTAAGTTATTAGATAGGCCTCCTATCTGTAAAAAACTCCTTCATAAATTAAGTTTTAATTCTTTCCTTTCCCATTGGAACTTGACTAGTCCTTGAAATGCGATACCATAAAACAAGTGCATATCAGAGCTCTATGTAATGCAATTATAATTTATTTCAGTTAATAATGTCATCTTTTATTAATTGATAATAATTAACCAAATTTTTTATAGCTTGCCTTTTGATTTGGATTAAAATATCATCACTCCATTACACATTCAATAGAGACAGCTGAAAAGTACAATTTCTCTGCAGGGCCTGCAGTGAAGGATTTGCAGAATCCTGCAGGGAATCAAGGAAAGCTTCATTACAATTCATGGATTTGTAGGATTACTCTGCACTTTTCAGCTGTCTTCATTGAGAACGGTCTCAAAAATGTATCCTTGACTGTCCAGCAGGTAACCTCTTTCCCACTGGAAAAGTTACAATGTACAAATATTTTAATTTTTTTTAATGACCACCTGGCAATTGTTGAGGCAAAACTTTGTTCTTACTAATCTCGTAGGTGAATATTAAGATCTGCTGGAATGCTATTTCTCCTAGTTGCCCAAATTTAGTACTGTTAGGTGCCAGATTTTGAGAGCCTTATTTTATATTGTGTTAAAATACAAATTGTGGGGATAATTGGTATTTGTTTATGTAATTTCTGTCACTTTTTAAAACTGTTTTCCACATTCTCTGTCCAACTGATTAGGTGGCATGTAGATCTTTAAATACATCCTAAATTCAGAATAGGTCACACAAGACTAATTTTTCCTTATTTGATCAGCTTAGTAGATCAGGGGAATCTATAGTAAAGTTTACTTAGATTTTAATGGAAAGTATTTGATTAAGGTTTTTTGTGCTATTCTTGTAGAAAAATAGTAGAGCTTTTGGTCCAGTCTATTGAATTAGATGGATTCAGAGCCAGCTGAATGGTCAGGACTCAAATAGTATCCTTATGGGTTGGTGTCATCTTAGCAGAAGGACTCCAGTGATGTACTGTGAGATTTGTGCTTGGCCTCGTGCCACTTAACATTTTCATCAAGTTACTTGGATAAGGGGGTAATTCTTATGCTTTCAGATATGTAAATGTCACAAAGTTGGGAGGGATAACTAAAACACTGGATGACAACATCAGGATCCAAAAAAATCTTAACAGGCTAGAATATTGGGATAAATCTAATAATATGAAATCCATTAGGTGTAAGGTACACCTGGATTCAAAAAATCAACTTCACCAGTACAAGGTGATAGAGATAGCAATTTGTCTGAAAAACATCTCTGCATTTCAGTAGTGTGAAGGTTCAGTTATCAGTAAGTGGCCCTGAGATGTGGCAGCCAAGAAAGCTAATGAGATCTTATACTATAGTAGTAAAGACATAACTTTCATGAATAAGGATGACTGTGTTCTATCCCAGTTGGACTGCCTCTGGAATATTGTCAAAGATTTGAAAAGGATATAAATAAACTGGAGACTTTTCAGAAGAGCATTTGGTATAGTGAAGGGATTAATGTCCATTTCATATCAAGCGTGGTAGAAGGAATAACAGTTATTTAGCTTGGTGAAGAGAAGACTTACCGGGAGAGCATGATAGCTATCTTCAAATATTTGAAGGTTTATCATGTTGAAGGGGAATTGGACATGCTGGTTTGGGCACCATAGGGCAGAATTAGAAGCAGTGGGTTGCAAAGAAGTTGTAAAAAGGCACATTTGGATTTGATGTCAAGAAGAAACTTGCTAGTGATTAAAGCTGTCCAAAAGTAGAATGGGCTACTTGAAGAGATAATGACCTTCCTTGGAGATCTTGCAGCAGAGGCTGTATGATAGGTTTTAGTGAGGATTCCTTTGGAGAATGGAGTGTATTGAGTGGCCATGAGGTCTCTTTCTACCCCAAGTTCTGTGATAAATGAAATCTGTGAATACTACTTCATTTATCAAAGTTAAAAGAGATGTCAGTTCTTATTTATCTGTACTGAAGAGGTGAAACAGAATCTAGTGTAATCTAGAAGTTAGAGATGGTTTTGGAATTCATTCTTATGTTGATATATAAATATATGTATGTCTGAAGTTCTAGGTCAAGAATCACCAGCCTCTAGCATCTGTACTGGCACATAAAGTAATCCTGATTGGCATAATCAAGATTGGCCTGTACACAACGGTACAGCAGATGAAACTTCAGTGCCTTGTCAGCTTCCTATCAATGCCCTTTTCCTTCATCAGGTTCAATCCTTTGCCTCCCTTTCCAGTGTCCCTTTTTTTCTGTCAACAACTGATCTCCCACTCACTAAAGTGCTGGATGTTAAGGTTGCAGGAGTATTTCTATTTTAAAAGGGCCTATTTAGAGGAGGTAATACTGAGGTTGTAGAAAGTACATAGGAAGAATAACTCCCCCACCCCTTTTTTCCCCCGTAATCATCAACAGCCATTTTTACTAATCAGCTTTGTTAGCTTTACATGGAAACAGCTTCTTAATGGGGAAGAAAAGAAAGTGTCACTTACAGGTGGTCAGTTCCACCCTTTAACACCATATAAAGAAATTTCCCAGCCACATCTTCACCTTCATAAAGAGAGAATAAATGAAGCTGATATGCCATCTCTGAAAGGCTATTAATTCTTCTAGTCTAGTTCTTCCTATTAAAAAAGGGAGCTAGAGCAGGCAGACCTGACTTTAATTAAGCTGGAGAAGCTTGCAGTTTTTCCAGTTTATTCTCTTCTCTGTGCCTTTGCACAGGCTGTCTCCCATGCCTGAAATGCACTTCCTCAGCATCTTAGTGAATAAGCATTTTAGTGCAGACTATCTGCCAGACACTCTGCTAAGTGATCTGCCTCTTAGAACTTCTGGTCTTCTTCAACGCTCAGCTCACAAATGCCGCATCCTACATAAGGCCTTTACTAATCTCCCTCCCTCCTTCCCCCCCCCATGCCTTTTATTTATTTTACATACACTTATAGAAGTACTTATTGTTTCCTTTAATAGAAAGTAAGTTCCTTTAGGTCAGCGACTGTTTCGTTTTTTCTTGGTGTCCTCAATACCTACAGGATAGAAGACACATAATAAATGTTGGTTGGTTGATTGATTACTACTGCCTAACTTTTTCCTGTTCCCAACAAGCCAGGCTACTGCAGAGCTGTTCTCATTCTAAGTTTTACTGATTTACCCTTTTCCTAGTGGGAATAGAAACAATGTGGGTTTTTTTCCCTCCAGTGTTTTCTTAATTAAAAGGAGGAAGTGAACAGGAGTTGACATTATAAGTTCAATTTTTAGAGCTTTTAAACTCTCTTATCTTAATGTCATGAAGCTCATTGTAGTAATGTAATTTGTTTTGAAATAAATGTTTTAGGACATACTTTAATTCACATTTGTATTAAAATTTCCTTAAATGTTTAGCAATTTTGCACGCAAGTAATTATTTGTATCACCATTAGTAACTAATTTAATATTTCTCTAATGACTCTCTTTGAGGACTTCCAAGACATTAATGTTTCATGGATGTTTCTACATTAGGATTATCTGGTATCTAATAGTTCATAGGTTTTAGAGGGCTACAAATTATGTCTGTAGATCTTTGAAGTTCATTGGGTTCAGAAAATTTGTATAGGACAACTTTTTTCACTCAAAAGTAGTATTTCAGACAATTTTATTCTCCTGTCACTACCACTCTAGTTACCTTTGGTCTGATCTAAACTCATTTATTTCTCCTGGGTTTGCTCTTCTAAATTTTTCTGTCTTCCTGTTTCATAGTTTTGGTATTTTGTAATCCATTTTAAATATGTAAAATCTTAACATAGAATTGTGTTGTTGTGCCAGCTGTGCAACAGATTTATCAATTCATGTGGGCCATAAGTCCCTCTGGCATTGGATGTTAAACATTTTGAATTGTCTGTGTAAAGGTATACTTATGAACCCTTTTGCCTATTCCCAATCACTATGATTCATCCAATAACATTTATTGATCATCTAATTTATATGAGTCACTGAGATGGATTATTTTTTTAGATAAAACAGTCCCAGCCCTTAAGGACTTACAATCTTTGTAATAGGAAAGAATTTGACAAGAACACAGATATAATGCCAAGTAGAATATGAAAATGTTTCACAGTGTACTAAATCTTAGAGTTCAAAGGAAAGAGAAGTCAGTCCCCTGGTTTTCTAGGGTAGCTTACTGCCCAAAATGTTTGAGAAGCTTACTTAAATAGTTACTTAAATAGGATGAGGAAGAAGTGGAAGACTCTTTAGTTTCATGAAATTTACATGTTGTGGTTTCTTTGGCATTTATTTCAGATATAGACTTCAGACAGTAAAGTCATTGGCTGGAGTAAGTCTTATGTTGCGGTTGCTCTGGGCGAGTTTAAGGTGGGATGATATGGCAGCCAAAACTCCTCCTGGGGGAGGGACTACTCGAACAGGTAGTATATTTATACATTTTTGTTTGTTTAAACATTAGTATCAGAGTTAAATGACAGTGGGATTTGATTTTAAGCATGTCTTATGTTTGCTTTAAAAATTAAAATGCTTATTCGTTTTAAAAATATTTGAGTTTTATAAACTGAAGTTTGCATTGTGTCATCTAATCCTAAGTGTTGTGTGAGTCGTTTATGATGTACAAAACAATGTGGATAGAAAAGTTGCTTGTTACTAGGAATCAGACTTGTTTGTAACTAGGATACTCATACCTCACCTTCTGCCTCACTTTGCCAAAAGTCTTCTGTTCCTTCCCTCAGTGCTACCAGTTACCTTCTGGTAACATCCCTCAATTTAGAAACAAGTCCACAGTTAAAGAGGAGATGGAAGCTGGCTGCATGTAGCATTTCATCAGTGATCACGTAGCTCATGATGCACATGCTTTTGAACAATAATGTCCTATATGACTACTCCACAAGGGGCTTCCCCTGACCGTTCCATATCCTGAGGAACTTTATCTAATGCTCTCCTTCAAACACAACACTCCATTCCCTCAAGCTCTCCCATTCTCCCACCTGCTAGTACCTTCCCCTCTAAAATGAGCTCCCATGTATTCTGTATATCGTTTGTGTAGACCTAGTTATTTACATGTTGTCTCCACTATTAGATATTGATCTCTTGGAAGTCAGAGACAGTTTTTGTCACTTTTCTCTCCAAGTAAGCACTTAATAAATGCTTTTTATTGATTGGTATAGTAGAGTTGACAGGGTACTGAGTGTGAATTCAATATATAGGAAAACTTGAATACCTGGTGGGTCCCCTGATACGTGATAGTTCCGTTTCACAGAAATAATGTATTTCATCTGGGCCCGTGAAGTCCCCTATACTGGCATCGGCCAACGTCTATAGAGTCTGTCAGGTATTTTATACAAATTTAGCATACCCCATTTCTCACTGATCTTCAGTTCTTCCCTTCCACTCTAGCTGGCTTTTCTTTGGACTTTGCAGTGGTTTTCCTCCTTTTGAAAATGTAGACCTTTTGTTTTTACATCATATTTATTTCCGTATGTATTCCTTCTCTCTCTAGTGAACTTTCCCTTGTAACAAAGACTGAGAGAGCTCAGCAAAAATAACTTAACACAAAAGCCCTGACAGTTAATGCAATATTCCACACCCCTAGACACCACAGAGGTGACTTTTTAGTAAGCAATATTTTCTTTATATTTTAAATTGTAATTAATCTTCATTCAATCTCCATAGAAACATCAGACACAGAAATTACAACAACTGAAATAATTAAGCGAAGAGATGTTGGTCCATATGGCATTCGATCAGAATATTGCATCAGGAAAATCATCTGTCCCATTGGTGTTCCAGAGGCTCCAAAGGGTAAGGAATTTTTTAAAACAAATGTACATAAATATTTAATTGGCCTAACTTCCCTCAACTTTTTTACTTTCTCCATTGGCTCTCATGTGAATATTTCTGTATAATTTGTTCATTTAGAAGTGACTCTTACGAGGACTTTACACAAAGAGAAATGGTTTTATGTGCACATAAATGCTTTAATTCTTACAGTGAATTCCCATTGTTATCTATAGCCTAACAGGGCAGAAGAATATCACCAGACAACAAAATTTTTGAGCACTTGTGTACAAATACTTACAGAATTATACTATAGTAATAAGTCAACAAAGAAGAGATATCACATTGATATGTGTCGTTGGCAAATTTTATCAGATGTTAAGACCTGTAAGAAACAGGAATATATTTAGGGATGACAGAAGAGGTGAGAGTCACATTACAGAAATACTTACTAAAATAACATAAAAGTGATATAGAATGCTAGGGCAAAATTACATCTGTTTGGAGGTAATTAGTGAAGGCTTCAGAAATGGCAGCCCTTGAAGTATGGAGATGATTTCAGTAGCTGAAAATATTTTGGGAGGGCATTCCAGGAGAAAACCTAAAATAAAATGACCAAAGGTGCTAGAGTGGGAATGTAAGGTATTAACAAAAAAAAAGATCCACTAACAATGTTTAAAGTTATATGGTTTGACTTGTCTTGATTCCTTTTCCATCCAAAGAAACGCCTACACCTCAGAGGAAAGGGCTTCGATCAAGTGCATTGAGGCCAAAGAGGCCAGAAACACCTAAGCAAACAGGCCCTGTTATAATTGAAACCTGGGTAGCAGAAGAGGAATTGGAGTTATGGGAGATCCGGGCATTTGCGGAAAGGTAACTATACAACTAATTGTTGATCACAAAATGTATAAAATGTAAAGAATCTATCACTTTGCAATAAAAAATATAATTTTAACTTATTAAGCATGCAGTTGTTAATTTATTCCATTTGTTTAAAAAATGGTGAATATTTACTCATATTTAGTTCTTTAAGAGCTTGTACTTTCAAGTTATCCACTTGTCTTAAATTTTCTATTTTGATTATAATCTTATTTTCAATTTGTGTAGCATTTTTAAAATCCTTAATGTTTGGCAGTTTTGTTCCATGATCATCCAAATAGCACTTAATGTTAAAAGCCTACAAGTATAATGATCTGATATATTTTTCCTTTTTTTTTTTTCAGAGTGGAGAAGGAAAAGGCGCAGGCAGTTGAGCAGCAGGCTAAGGTTAGTGAACAGAAGAAGGCCGAGGAGTTCAAGGCCCAAATGGAGGCTCAACTAAAACAGCAACGATTGGCTGCCCAGCAGGTGGGGGAGCTGTTACTAGTCCCACCTGTCAACAAATTTGCATCATTACCTAAAATGCATGCATACAAACTACAGCATTGAGTACTGGGACTGTGGTGTTTGGTTTGAAGCAGCATACATATTATCCCATTTGTTTATATAAATGAAACACTCAAATTCACTGTCTGAAAACAGTCCTTGGTTTACTAATGTACATCTATTTGAATAATGTACAAAAGTAGAATTTTTTTTCTTTTTTAACTTGCTAGTTTTATAAAGGTTATTTGAGTACCTTTCTAAGATGCAGTTTCTCTAACTGTTAAGAAAAACATACAAAAAACTATCATACCAGAAAAATTCTGTAGTCTGTTGAAGATCTAAATAAATAAGCCAAATGGCTTATAAAAATCTCACTAAATCAGTTATTTCTCACTACAACACCACTGTTTGGCCAACACTTAGTTATTCAGATTGTAATACTATGAGGCTGTCATAGTTCAAATAGTTTGCTAGCAGGAATGATATAAATTCCCATCCCAGTAGGATGTGTTGGCCTCTTGGAAATTTGTCTTTCAAAGTAAAAACAGTATTCTTCCAACTTGCATTACTTTATTTCTTTTTGGTTTTGTATATCTTTAGCATCTCCTTGGAAAGTAATTACCTTGATATAAATAGCTGTATGTACAATCGTTACCTTGAAAAATGGACACATTTGTATTTAACATAGTACAAGGAAAGAATTCACAAACTAGTAACAATAAGCTATTGGAAACTTTGAGCATTTTATTGTGACTAAGATCTGATAAGTATCTGTTTTGGTTGATCCAACAGTCTGAAAGAGCAGAATGTAAGAAGAACCTGACTAAGTGCAAATTGACATTTATTTGTTTCTAAAAGTGATTTTTGAACACAGTAGTGTAAGAAGTCTAGAAAAATTCTTTATGTTTCAGCTTGGTTGAATGCAGATTTACTCCCTACAATAACAGCTGTAGATATTGACAGGCATTTTTTGATTGGATAAATTAGTATGGAAATTAAATGAATATGATTTGCAGTTTCATCTGGCACCTGCTGTAAATTCCATCAGTGAATAGCAGAGTGTCCCAGTCAACTATAAGATTACTAACGCCTGTTGTAATTTTAAATGTTTATTTTCAGACTGAGAATTTGAAGAGTTTATTCATGTGGAGAAAATTTCTACCATTTGAGTTTCCTGTTATTTGAAGTAGACCTTGGCTTTTGAAAAATAACCTATTTAGCCAGAATCAAATAGGAAATGGGTCGCATTTTCAGGTGTTTGATGCTTTACAAAAGGAGTATTTGGACTGAGTTTCTTAACTTAAGAAGGAAACTAGTTTGGGGACCTGTGAGCCCATCTTTGACTTATTAATTTTTATTTCCTTTGCTAACTTACTTTGTAGAAACGATTGGAGCAGCAGAAACAGCTACCAGCAGTAATTGCAGCCTCTACCACTACTACAACAAACAGTACCACCAGCACAGTCTCCACCCCGCAGAAAGTTGTGGTAGCCCCTATAAGTGGCCCAGTTACTACTGGAACCAAAGTGGTACTCACAACTAAGGTTGGATCTCCAGCCACAGTGACATTCCAGCAGAACAAGAACTTCCATCAGACATTTGCTACCTGGGTTAAACAAGGCCAGTCAAGTTCAGGTAAACAATAGTCATTAAATGAGGGATTGATTTTAGTTCAGAAAAACATGTTCCACCTCCATCTACTGAAATCAAAGATTGTTTGGAAGTTAGCATTTCTCTAGGCACTGTTTGAATAGATGAGCCTCTTTAAATTTAGGTAAGCTGGTACCTAATGTCAGACACATTCTGTGCCTGGCCTATATTCAGTGTCTTCTCATCTAAACTTCTCATCTCAACTAAAGCTTATATCCTACCATTATAAGTAATCCCCCAAATATTAGCTAATGCCTTCTCTTGCCCTTTAACTATTTCATTTATAATACAATGAATCATTTAATGTTAGATCTGGGAGGAATTCTGAAAGTGAAAGAGAATTAACTTACTCAGGATCACCTCTCTGTGCGTGTAGTCAAAAAACCTAAGTGAGAAGCAATTTTTTTAATCTTCTAATCCAGAGCTCTGTCTTAATTGTCCTCTTTCAGCTAGCTCAGACTGAGTCCATGTCTATATATACACAATTTCAAATAGAGCATGATCAGAATTCAGGATAAGTGGTAATACCTGAGATTGTACTGCTAATTAATGACAGAACTGAGATAAGACATCACCCCTGCCCCTGGTCTGCAGACTTTCAGCTCATTGGTCTTTCTTCTTGACTATGTTACCAACATAGTTTTCACTTTGATACTTTGAAGGAGCTTAGATTTCAAAAGTCTGGGTCCTGTCTGCAGCACTATATCTTTTGCCCAATCTATCCCTGTCTTTTCTGCTCATGCTTGCCTGTAACCTTCCATGAGAATCTGCCAGTATTCTGGAAGCCTTGCTCTTATTCTTTTGATATATCAGGGTTAACATACCACTCAAGCTCTCTACCAGCTGTTTCTCATTCTCTGTGCATCAGCTCGCTGCTTTTTCTTCCCATACATATTCTTGATACTGTGTTTTAAGCCAGTTTTGTCATGCAGGGCCTCGTTGGCAAAATGTAGTCTGCCTGCATACACTGTGACATTGTACATTGCGTTTTAAAATTTGAAGCCTTGATGCTTCTGAGATTGTGCCATTCCATGGTTCACAATCATCTGGAATCATTGAAATTATATCAATATCAGTGAGGAAGGGGATTGGCTTTTGCAGCATTAAGCTATACTTATTTCCCAGATGAGAACTAGTCCAGTCACTTCCAGCTCATCATTGCTGTAGTACTTTTCCAAGGTATACATTAATTCTCTGCCCATCCAGTTACATATAAAGTCTGGATAAAAAGGTGTTTTTGTTTTTAACCACTTTCTTTTTTTTATTGGGATGATTCATAATATCATGGATCTAGAATTAGAAGAAACACAAGAGGTCATCCTGTCTGAACTTGTCATTTTACAAACAAGGATACTGAAGCCCACAGAGGTTAAGTGACTTGCCCAAGGTTACACAGGTAGTAAATGGCAGAATTGAGATGTGAATTCACATCCTAGCAATCCAGTCAGCCTTCTGTCCATTTACTCAGCAGGGCTTGCCTTTGGTTTGACCATAGTCTTTCATATCACTGTGGATTTCATTGGGGGGAGGAGCTGTAGTGTTCTAGATTCAGTCTAATTCATACAAATAAGAATATTAGAACACATCAATAAGAGAACCTTTTGTTGGACTTTTTTAGAGAACGGTTTTCTGGCTATTGAACATTCAGGTCTCTATCAAGCAGAACTGATTTGGTGTTGATACTGTTGTGCTGTTGGAAAAAAGCAGTCTCTGTTATCACATCTTTTATGGTTTCTTATATATGAAATACCTTGTTCTACCTAATTAGAAGCTTTCTTAAAATCAGTAAATAGCACTGGGATGTTTTCTATACCTCAGTCATTATTAGTGTGATTGTAAAAATGTGTTCCTTTGTAGAAAATTTCCTGTGAAAGCTCGCTCCTTCCCTTCTCACATTTTCATGAGGGATGTATTCTCTTCATGCAATACATTTCAATACTTTTTAAAAGAATATTCAGAAAGCGTGTGTGTGTGTGTGTGTGTGTGTAGAGAGAGTGTGAGAGCACACTTCCAAGAAGTATGCAAGGTTTTGGCCATTCACATTTCTTAGTCTGAACCATATTTTCCAACATATTTTCACCAGCATCCTCTTTACCCTTTTTCAAAGTGTGGTTGCTGAGTATTGAATTTTGTGTTGACTTAATTGGAAGGAGCTTGTCAGGTTCTTCTTAGAACTTCTCTGACATTTTATCCTCAGCACAGATGTTGGTATGTAAGTTGCAGTAATCTTCATAGTGACTGGTCATTTGCAGTCATGAACATTGTAGATGCAGAGTGAGATGACTGAGTTTCTTAAGAAATAATGTTTTTTGTTTCTTTGGTCATATGATGAAAACACCTATATGATTTATTTTAATCTCTTCTCTTAGGAGAAGATCTTTTCATTTAATTGCAACTTTTTGTAGCTTCTAATCATATTATATATGGTGAGAATGTTGTTACTAATGTGATTTGGTTTCTCTAGTAGAATGTGAGTTTTTTCATTGTTAGACAATATTACAAATTGAGAATACCACCAACTGAATTAATGTTTGTAAACTGTCTAAAAAGTATGATCTTTAGCAAGCTTTTCCTGTTACCCCCATTGCAATAATAAAAGAAGCCGGGTGGGATTTGGAGCCTTGTATTTGTTATGGGAGAAATATTTCCTCTTTAAGTTCATGTGGTCAGTAACTGCTGTCAAATGTATTTACCACAACACAGAAATTATAGAGGTAAAAACCTACATTTTATTATAATGTTCTAGCATAGGTTCAGGCCTCAGAGATAACCTAAACCCTTATTAGGAGTTTCACAAGCCCTCTTATAGGCAAAATCATGTCAGAGGGATAGAGAAATAATTCTTTTACATATTGCAATCTCGTACGCCTTTTAGGCCCTAAAAGTTAAAGAGAAGATAGATCTGTAATTCCATACTTCCTTCAATGTCATAAAAGTTGGATAAACTTTGTGAAATGGAGTTATAATCTCATGTGTCCCCTAAGGAAGCAAACCTCATCAAACAAACTTTGTAGATAAACTAAGGTTACAGATTAAACTACATTTAGAGGTTTCACAAATAGGCTGATAAAGGGAGAATATTTACATGTCACTAAGATAACCAAGAAGACTTGGTGTCAGGGAAATTGTTCTTTCAGCAGTTAACTAGCAGGGCTAAGAAATAAATAAATTACTTTGGCTTCTATCTGAGGAATGTCAAACCATCTTCCCTTATTTCATGAGTTAGATTTTGGTCAGGAAAGGTTAATATTAATTAGGAGACAGACTTTTAGTTAACCAAAATCTGTAAGAAAAATGGCCCTGAGTCCTGAATGATAAAAGGATATTTTCAAAACCCATACCATATTTTATCAGTTTCATTAGTTTGCTTTTTTAATTATCACTAGGGATGAGCTTCTCCAGATTTAGTAGACCTGGTACTTAAAGGCAGGGACATTCATAATTGGGCTTTTCTCTCTTGGTGGGATCTACTAAAGTTTATGCTTGACTGGCATAACCTTTGAAATCCTAGACTTACTTTAGTAGAAGGAATATTTAAATAGATGAAATTTAAAATTGAAATAGAAGGTATATTTTAAAAAATGAAAGGGTAGGAGTTTCTTGTAAGTATATAAATACATCATTTTATGCCTTGGAACTTCTTCCTAGAAGTGACTATATTGCTGGTTGTCTTAAATCTAAAACTTATTGAATGTCTTATACCCTAATAGCCACCAGCACAGCTGCTACATCTGCTACAACCATTGCCAGCACAGGTCAGACGTTCCAAATTACAGGCAGTCCAGTTACTATGGCAGGAAAAGTAATTACCAAACTACCGCTTCCTGCAAATAGCAAGATTGTTGCTGTAAATGTGCCAACAACACAAGGAGGTAAGGAAGAAGAGTCATGAAGACCTTTAATTCGTGTTTGTAAAATAGTTTTGCCTTTATTTTCTTCCCTCTGTTCTGTGTCGTTGGGTCTCATAGTCTGTGTATCCCACTGTAACCTTCCCAATTTGTAATTATTCCAGAGAAACCTAGCAGCACCAGTGCATTGTTAATGGATTCTTAATTTTTTTCAAGGTGTTGTTCAGGTTCAACAGAAAGTCCTGGGTATCATTCCATCAAGTACAGGTGCAAGTCAGCAAACCTTTACTTCATTCCAACCAAGAACAGCTACAGTCACTATTAGACCAAACACCCCAGGCACTGTAGGTACCACAAGTAACTCACAGGTAAGACTTCTTTTCTGAGGTTACCTCATTGTGAAATGTGGTCAAGCACAGTGGGTTGGGTTTTTCAGAGTAGCCTAACCCAGGCTCTCATTTTCCCTTACCTATTACTACTTAATCTATGAAAAATCCTTGTTCTGAAAAATCTGTTCTTCTATTTGTTAGATTTCTAAAATGTGAGACATTAATCATTAAACAGTTAAACACTAGCCATTGACCAGATGGACTTTCATTTAGTATCAGTAAGTATGTTCCTCTGAATAGTAAGTGTTAAATAAGGAATTTTTAAAAGAAAATTTTCCTTTTATTTTAGCCTCACAAATTTGCACTGGATCATCTGTGCTTAAAATATACTGTGGGCAAGTAAGAATTTGAAAAATAAACATTTAAATTAAAACCCACAACATTATGTCTACATTTCATTAAGCAGTTGATGTATACATATAGATGTGTGTGTGCATATATACACACACACACACACACACACACACATATATATATATATACACACATATATATCAGATGCATCATGTTTTGTGACACTAATAACTATCAGGAAGGCTAATCAAGGAGATTTGTCTGAACATTCTCTCAACCTAACTACAAAACTGAATTAATTCGTTCTGTAGTTTCTTCTTTCATACTGTAAAGGAACATCTGATTTCTTAATTTAGTCTCTTACTCCTTCAAGTAGTAGCTGTAATTTGCTCAGAGGAAAAACGGGAGCCACATACTGCTTTTCCAGAGTACCGAAGCTAAGGATAGTTTTGAGCAGGGCCTTCATTGGGTCTTGTAACTTTCTTTTAGACTATTGTGTGTCTTGGTGGCAAAAGAACTTTAGATGAAATAGTTTTAATTGGGAAATTTGTGATTATCCTCAACAGAATCAAACACATTATCAAGAAGAAGAGTAAAAAAATTTGTGGGGGTTCTTTTTTTGTGTGTTTCAAAAATATAAACATTATTCAAATGCATTCAATAAGAATTAATGTAATATCTGGGGACATCTGACATTTCTCCAGAGGTTTCTCACATTTTACCAAGCATAGTATACTTAGAAGATCTTGAGTTCAAAAATCAACATACCTGAGTCTTGAAAAACATTTGAATTCATGTCCCCTTTGTGTCATTGATAGGTAATCACAGGGACTCAGATCCGTCCTGGTATGACAGTGATTAGAACACCACTCCAACAATCAACCCTAGGAAAGACAATTATTCGAACACCTCTGATGGTACAGCAAGGTATTCTTCCAGCCAGTAGGTTCATTTTTATTTTTAAGTATATGAAGTCCGTCATATTCTGTACTACTGATCATTCTCCATAATAGAAAATTACAAGTTAGAATTAATATTTCTCTATTAAGTGCTTCTACTGTGATCTTCAAAAAAAAGCTGGATTATTAAATTTCAAAATTTTGATATTGAGTGAAGTACTGTTAAATGATAATTAGTAATTTGTAAATTGTAATGAATTAAAAGATTTATAAACTATCTACAAATATAAAATAGTTTCAGAATTTACTATAATGCTGGAAAAAAATTACCTGCTTGCCATCTCTTCTAGCTAAAGTGAAAGAACGGGGCAACAGTGGTATGTGAAAGGATACTGAGCAGCTATTCCTATTGAACTCATGTTTGCTAAAATAGCAAGAGAACTAGAAGAAATCTCCAGTTAAATTTAGTTAATCTAGTATATCTCACCCTGGCTAAATTTAATTCTGTCTAAACCTTAAAGTTTGTGTGAACTGATTGTAAAAGTCAAATCATCTGTTTAGTCAGCTATTCCTGAGGCCTCTACAACAGTCCTGTTCCAGTGCTTTATTTTGTTATGGAAGCATGGGCACTGAATCTAGATTATTTTTATTGTTGTTTTATTTTTGCTGTCCTCTCTTTTTTTTCTTTTTAAATGTTGTATATTTGCTCTTTTCCGTTTTTATATTATCATTTCTCATTTCCCAGTGCTTCCCCTTCCCATCTCCTGGGATAGGGCCCTCCCTTGTAACAAATAAGTACAGTCAAACAAAACAAAGCAACACTATTGGCCATGTCTACAAATGTATACCCTGTTCTCTAGCACTGGTTCACCACCTCTCTAGCATTCTTTACTCTGTAGTTGTCATTGGCCACCCTTGATTCTTGAAAGCTGTGCTAGCAAAGGTCATGCTGTGGCAGGTTTTACTAAACTAGAAAGACTTCAATTCATGTACATTCTCAGTGACAGATTGTCTTTCACTGCCTTATATCACCTTGGGCAAGTCATTTAACCTGAGTGTCTGGGCCTCCATTCCCTCATCTATAAAATGGGTGGGGTGGGGGTGGTTCAGATTGCATCACCTCCAATCTTTGGTCTCTAAAGCCCTCTATAACTGTATCTGTGATATGAGGGTCAGATTAGGGCAGTACAGAGAGTTTTGTTATCAGTTCATTGACCACTGGGTAATAAGTAAATAAGTCATGGAAACTCATGAAATACAGAAAAAGGCAAAATGATGCAAAAAAGCTGTGTAGCCTTTTCAAAGTGATGTTGGCAGAGTAAGTGGCAGGAAAAAGGCCAGGAGGGGTTCATGGTTCTTAAATCATCTATATGTATTAATTTAACTGTTGGTACTTTAAATGAGAGCCATTGGCCAGCAAACTGATATATAACTGAAGGAACTGAAACATAACAATATGACATTTTTGCTGTATCTAAAACCAGAAAACATAAGGAAGTTGCCACTAGGTAGAAGGGTAACTCCTAGGTTCTTCTGGCCAGTCCCTTCCAATGTTAGAAATATGATTCTGTGATCTGGTGAAGAGGATAAAGAGGTAGAGAAATTCTGTTAACTTGACAGGATGCTCCAAACCAGATATACATATACAGTGATAGTTGGTAACTTTAAAGCAAAGGTCACAAGAGAGGACCGTGAGAAATATGTTGAAAAAGATGGTTTGGAATTAGGAAAGAAGTCAAAGGTTTGAGGCTTTACACACATGAAGTTTCAACACCAAACATCACATAATGATGAAATTGGCTATATAATAATAATAAACAGGAAACAGTTGGTTAACACTTCATTTCTGAATCAAGTGTCTGTATGTGCTCATATCATACGCTTGTTATATTGCAAGTTATCATCACCCAGATAAAAGAAAGAGTAAAGATGAAAAGATGATACATGTAATTACAACTGCAACCTGACATTGATGATGAAAACATGGGTACTGAATTAAAAAGAAAAGCCATTGAAACCAGTTATAACCATTTCCTATAAAAGTTTACTGACATAAAATAATCACTACTACAAAGAGACCAAAAGAGCACACAACTTGACTTGCAAAATCATCGAACAAGCAAGACTTGGAAATTAAAAGGAAACATGGGTTTAGAATATAAAATTACTTGCAAAATATTAGTATATACTATATATTAGTATATCTGAGGAATAGATTATAATAGATGGAAGAGTATAAGCAGTATCATCTGGCAGATCAGCAAAGGATGATGCAAGGGAAAATAAATCTATAAAAAGCCTGGTATGAGACCCAATTAAATGAGATCATTGTAAGAATGTAGATAAAACTGTAAGGAGGAGTTGAAATAAATGAAAAATGGATTAGTTCTGTATCATGAACACTTTTCATCTTTATGGTAGCAGAATTACCCTGTTTAGTAGATTATTATTACCTCAGTACCCTATTACTATGTGATCTTATCTTTCAACAAGTATTTATTAAACATGCACTATTGTAGGTACTGTTAACTGCTAGTTATATAAATATAAAGAAAGATACAATCTGACCTCTTAGGTAGCTTACATTCTAACAGTGAGGAGAGAGCATCTGAAATGGAATCAGAAATTGTAGGTGGACTAGACCAGGTACACATAAAAGAAGTTCATCCTGAGGGAAACATAGTTCTTAAAGCATTGAGAGACTGATTTTCAGGATATCTAAAAGAGGGGATGGCATGTAAGCACATTTGCTATTGTGCCAAGCAGTGTTCAAAAAGCTGAAAATATAAATAAAAAAATAAGGCAGTTTCTGCCTTTATATACTAATTGGAGGAGATGTAGAAAGATTCAGCTGCAGGGCATATGGCAGTGCCCGGTGGCTTAGAAGGCACAGCAGTGGGACAAATGGTAAGGCCCACTGTTCAACATATTACTGAAAGGATTCTAATTTTATATCATCAAAGTATTGTGAACAACCAGTGATTATTAAGAAGTGTGAGGTAGGCCCAGGAGTTGCAGTGAAGCAGAGTTCTGGGTTACCTCAAGCGGGAGTGGGATGTTGGCAAAGGCTTGGGTGTGGGGTAGAGTCAGGTTGTGACAGCATCTACCAGGGAAGGATAATTCAGCACCTAGTAAGAACTGGGAAGCGGTTGGGGCATGGAAAGGGAAGGGCTGCCTATAGCCTGTTCCTTCTGGACCCTTAGGACCTCATTGAGATCCAGACTGATTTTCAAACTACCTTATGAAGGAGAAGGATACCCAGATGAGGAGAGAGAATGGGGAAAAATCACATACTTTGTCATTTACCCCAGAAATGATGAAAAGGACCTTTGTAGCAACTTGCTCATACCTAAAAGATTTTGAGAGTATCAGGCCAAAATGAAAAAAAAAACCATAGTAATGACTAACATTTACATAACACTCATTAAGGTTTGCAAATCACTTAACATATATTACTTCATTTGATGCTCATAACTTGTGTGAGGTAGGTGCTATTATTATTTCTGTTTTATAAATGAGGATATTAAAGCTGACAGGAGTTCAAATGACATAGCTTGTAAGGTCATGTAGCTTGTAAGTGTACAAAGTTACATTCAAAGCTTAGATCTTCCTGATTTTGATAAAAACATGAGAAGAAATATTCACAGTTTTTCTAGAGCAGGTCTTTTTTACAACCATACAATTGACTTGAAAGGAATAGAAAATACAATATCCTGCTGTATCTGTTGGTTTCTTTTTGTACTGTTTGACTCATTACAGCAAAATTCAACCTTAAAGGGTCTCTTCCAGCAAGAAATATCCCCCATGCATATATTAATATAAGATGCCTTGATAGGTGCAAGCCCAAAGTTTTGTTCATTGATCCCCTGCTACTCCATGTCAAGCAAAACATAAAACAGGAAGACAAATATTCACCAAAGATGTTCACCATTGTCATGTTCTGAACAGATTCCACATGGAAAGTGGATTTCCTTTAGCTGGTAAGGTCTTTCAAATGTTCCCATTTGCAAATGACATAGTCATGATTGCATCAAGCCCAAGAATGTTAAAAGGCTTCCTCAGTGAAATCCTTCACCACTTGAAAGGTAGAACCTAACACACACAGGACCAATTGGATGGAGAATGCCTATTGTCCAGATGGTGACAGGCAGTTGTAGGGTAACTTTAGGCTCAGAATTTAAAAGACGATGATAGTGTCTGGATTGTTTGGGAAATTTCACTGCTCTTTCAAAGATACCAAGCTGCTTCCTGATTCAGAGCCCCATCCTTTTAACTCCAGTATTCTTTCTTTTTTCCCCAATAAGTTATTTATTTATTTTTAGTTTTCAACATTCACTTCCATAAGATTTTGAGTTTTAAATTTTCTCTCCCTCACTCTCCTCCCCCCTCCCCAAGACAGCATGTAATCTGATATAGGCTGTACTTATACATTCATATTAAGCATATTTTCACATTAGTCATGATGTACAGAAGCATTAGAACTAAAGGGAGGAACCATGAGAAAGAAGAAAAAAAAACAAAACAACAAAAGAAAAGGAGAGCAAATAGTATGCTTCCATCTACATTCAGACTCCATGGCTCTTTTTCTGGATGTGGATAGCATTTTCTATCATGAGACTTTGGGAGGTCTTAGATCCTTGCATTGCTGAGAAGGGCTAGGTCTATCAAAGTCAGTCATTGCACAGTGTGGCTATGTGTACAATATTCTCCTGGTTCTGCTCATTTCACTCAACATCAGTTCATATAAGTCTTTTCCAGATTTTTCTGAAGTCCTCTTGCTCATCATTTCTTTTTTTTGTTTTGTTTTGTTTTTTTGGTGAGGCAATTGGGGTTAAGTGACTTCCCCAGGGTCACACAGCTAGTTAAGTATCAAGTGTCTGAGGCCGGATTTGAACTCAGGTCCTCCTGACTCCAGCACCGGTGCCCTATCCACTGCGCCACTTAGCTGCCCCTTGCTCATCATTTCTTATAACATAATAGTATTCCATTATATTCTTTTATCACAATTTGTTCAGCCATTCCCCAGTTGATGGGCATCCCCTC